AGGGGAGAGGAGCCTCTGGTACCAAGGTCTGGCTGGACCAGGGCAATGGCTCTGGTAGTGGGGGAAGTGGGGGTTTGAGATTTGGTAGGAGCATGATTGGTGGGGGGGTCCTGGGGGCTGAAGCAGGGGTAGGGGCAAATTTTGGGGCACCAGTGCTGAGGGGGTTGAGCAGGGGGCTCCAGTGTAGGGCTGGGGTAGGGGCAGAGGGCAGGATGGGTGGCTCTGGTGCCAGGGAAGGGACAGGGTGGTTGTCTGGGGTGGGGGCAGGACTGGGGGGCTCGGGTACCTTGGGGAAACAGGGGCATGTAAGGGCTGGGCAGGCCCGTTGCCCAGCCGTGACACTGTGCCTGACTACAGCTTGTGGCACGCCCGGACGTCGTGGAGATGCATGACGTGACAGCGCAGGACCCCAAGCTGCTGGTGCACCTGAAGGCCACGCGCAACTCAGTGCCGGTGCCACGGCACTGGTGCTTCAAGCGCAAGTACCTGCAGGGCAAGCGTGGCATCGAGAAGCCGCCTTTTGAGCTTCCTGACTTCATCAAGCGCACCGGCATCCAGGAGATGCGTGAGGCTCTGCAAGAGAAGGTACCAGTTGGGCCTGCAACACCTACCCCAGCCTCTTGCATCCAGCTCCCCAGAGCCAGCTGCATGTTGTACGCAGCTTAGGCTGGGCCCGCTCTGGTGTAGGCATGTTATATACCCAGCACCCCTCGGAGCCAGCCCCATCCCAATACTGGGCAACATGCCCACAGCCCCTGACACACACCCCGAAGCTGGTTGCATGGCAGTGCCAGGTGAGGGGCCCTGTATTCCAACCCCCAGCACCCGTCCCACAGAGGTGTACGTCTTGGCTCCATATAAGCAACTGCTGCCATCATACCCCAGGTTAGCACCAGATAAGTTTCCACCTGTTATTCCTAGCTCCAACACACCCACCCAAGAGGAAGCCACATTTCATCTCCCACTGGGAACAGTTCCCTCTGGGGGTGGTTAGAGGTACCCACCCCGCTGTTCACAGGGCAGGGGATCAGGGGTCAGTCCTGGGAGCCGTGGATGGTTTGGAGGGGCACCAGCTCTCGGCTCAGCAGCCAGCACAAAAGGGTAAAGAAATGTTAAGGATCACAAAGAAAATTGGAAAGACAGGAAAGCATCATGATGCCTCTTTATGAGCCCATGGTGCAGCCACACCTCAAAGCGGTGCCCCAGTTTGGTCCCTGTACCTCGCAAAGGACATACAAGACCTCAAGAAGGCCCAGAGCAGGGCAGCAAGGATGAGGAAGACATGGAGGGACTTCCATAGGAGCAGAGACTAGAGGCTGAGAGAAGAGACACTAGTGGGGGAGACACGAGAAGGACTTACAAATGGTGGGAAGAGTTGACAGGGATTTCTTATTGCCTGTCTCACCAGACAAGACTCGTCACGATGCCAAACGAGTCAGCCACCCATTTAAAACTAACGTGATGAAGCCATGGCCAGTCTATTTATTGCGCTGTTGGCTGAGGGGGAGGGGGTGGGAATTGCACAATGTATGTGATGTGTGGCAGGTCCTCTGCTGAAGATGGACACGAGGCAACTCTTTTTCACCACATGGAATTGAAGCGTTGGGCTCGTTGCCACTGGAAGCAGTGGAAGCTGAGAGTTAGGGGTATTCGGACACAGTTTTGGAGGAAAGGGGTGTCAGCAGCTATTGAGCATGGGAGTGAGGGGCGCAGCCTCTGAATCAAAGCTGCCTGGACCCTAAATGCTGGAGGCTGCAAGGGAGAGGGGAACAGGGGCAAATCCTGCTCAGACCCAGTAACTCTCCCTTCCAGCCACCGCTGTCTGCCCCCATGTGACGCTGGAGGCTGGGCAAGACAGACCTGGGGTCTGACCCAGCACATGGCAGCTCTTGCATTCATATGAGTCTAACCCACCCCAGAGGCAGCTGCATCTGGGTTCCAGGGAACAGTCCCTCCATGCACAGGGTGGGCGACCATCTCAGGGCAGGGGTTGGCCCAGGGCTGCCGGCTCACCGCTCCCCTCCCCACAGGAGGAGCAGAAAACGATGAAGTCGAAGATGCGGGAGAAGGTGCGGCCCAAGATGGGCAAGATCGACATCGACTACCAGAAGCTGCATGACGCCTTCTTCAAGTGGCAGACCAAGCCCAAGCTCACCATCCATGGGGACCTCTACTATGAGGTGTGGGGCTGGACTGGGCCAGGCCTGGGGTGGGCACTGGGCTGGGTGGTGCTGGGGCCTGCTCTGACCCTTTCCATGGCCCTTAGGGCAAGGAGTTTGAGACGCGGCTGAAGGAGAAGAAGCCAGGGGACCTGTCGGATGAGCTGCGCATTGCCCTGGGCATGCCTGTGGGGCCGGTGAGCATGGGGCAGGGCAGGGGACTCTGGGTTGGGGGGGGGCAGAGGACTGGGTTGGGAGTGAGGGGCACCCATAGAGTTGGGGGGCAGGGTGGCTGCTTGGGGGGCAGAGGCTGGGTCCAGAGTGGGGGCACTGGGGGGGCAGGGGGCTGTGGGTTGGGAGTGAGGGGCACTGGGAGGCCATGGCTGGGCCATCACTGAAGCTGTCTCTCCCGCAGAACGCGCACAAGGTACCCCTGCCCTGGCTCATCGCCATGCAGCGCTATGGCCCCCCACCGTCCTACCCCAACCTCAAGATCCCGGGCCTCAACTCCCCCATCCCTGAGGTGAGTCCGTCTATCCCTCCCATCCCACCCAGGGACGTGCCCAGCACCAGCCCTGTGTCCTGTTGGCAGCGGCGGCTCCACAGCTGGAAACCAGAGCCTGAGGTTCATCCCACAGCATGTCTCTGCACGAGTTAGGAACAGACCCCCTGAGTCCTGGGTGGCAGCTCCCTGCTCAAACCAGCTGGCCCCCTCATCTTCTGAAACCTGGGATAGAGCCTGGGGGCCGGGTTCCCAGCTCTAATGAAAGCCCGGAGCTGGGAGGGAACCCAGGGGTCCGGGCTCCCAGCCTCCTCTGCTCTTAATCCCTGTGCCCAGTGCTGATTCCCCTCCCAGAGTCAGGGTAGAGCCCAGGCATCGGGGCTCTCAGTCCCCCACTCCCTTCCCTAAGCCAGGCTCTGGAGCCCAGGTGTCCAGGCTGCCAGCCTCCGCTCCCTTCCCAGCATGGGCTGGAACAGGACCCAGGTGTCTGGGCTCCCAGGCCCCGCTCCTCATAGAGCTGGGGTGGAACCCAGGCGTCCGGACTGACTCTCCTGCCATGTGCAGGGCTGCTCGTTTGGGTACCACGCCGGGGGCTGGGGAAAGCCACCTGTGGATGAGACGGGGAAGCCGCTGTACGGGGATGTCTTCGGGACCAACGCCGCTGAGTTCCAGGTAAGCCCTGCCCCGGAGCACGAGGGGCTCCCATGGGCCAGTGGTCCCAAACCCTCTGTACCCTTCCAGGGGGGCACCAGTGCCCCCTGGAGGGGCTTGACACAGCCCCCCTCACCTCACCCCGCCGTGTGTGCAGACGAAGGCAGAGGAGGAGGAGATTGACCGGACGCCCTGGGGGGAGCTGGAGCCCTCAGATGAGGAGTCCTCAGAGGAGGAGGAGGAGGATGAGAGCGATGAGGAGAAGCCTGACGAGACTGGCTTCGTCACACCCGCTGACAGGTTGGGGGCCCAGGGAGCAGGCTACTGGGGCCCTGCCTGGCGGGGAGGGGGCACTGGGCGCTGGGGGAGGCCCTGTTGGGCAGGGGGAAACATCTGGAGGATGGTGGGGCAGGCCCTGACCAGTGGGGTTTAGGCTGTGGGAGGGGTGGGGGCGGCTACTGTCCATCCAGGTCTGACCACCTGTCTCCTCCCTTCCCCGCAGCGGGCTGATCACGCCGGGCGGGTTCTCGTCGGTGCCGGCCGGCATGGAGACCCCCGAGCTCATTGAGCTGCGGAAGAAGAAGATCGAGGAGGCCATGGACGGGTAGGGCCGTTGGGGCTGGGAGGTGGGGGGTGCCATGCTGTCGGGGGTGGGCACCATGCTGGGGGGGGGGGCCCCCCTTGCCCGGGCGGCCCCGACCCCCCC